GAGTCTTAGGTTGTGGCCTTCACCCTTGTGTGGCACTAGCTATGGATTCTGCTGTGCCTTTCTCACACTGGTCTTGGCTTTTAACCCATTCCAAACAATAATGAACATGGGAGCCCACCACCCAGACTACACTATGCTTCTTAAAAAACAAAGGCCATTGAGGTGTGTAAATCGCCATCCTGGGCACTGGCTAGTCCATCCTTGATCCCAAGGGATAGTCGTTTTGTCTTAGATGCTTCTGGGATGGTGACGGAGAAGGTCTTTGCCTCCATGCCTGAGATCGTCCCAGTTTGGGGTCCCACATTGTCTTTGCATTCTCCCCAGCCACTGAAGAGTAGATGGGGAGCAGGGCTCCATCCCTCCTCCTATTCTTACTTACTTCCTCCTGGGTCAGGTTTGAAAAAGCAGGTGACTATCTATCTATAGGTGTTGTATAGGCTTTCTGGTACCTTGACCCATTGCACAGACATTCTACTGTGAGGACAAATCCAGCACCCAACTTTTATCAGGGGTTTCCATTAGTAGAAGAGCCAGTGAAGCCTCTGTGGTTGTGTAATTTAAGAGAGTTTCTCCGTTTTCTCTCTCTAATAAAGGCTTGAGCTGACACAGGATTGAGCTTTCTCTCACCTGGGTATCTCGCTTCCATTAGACTTAAAAAGATCCAGACTAGGATATATCCCACCTCTCTGCAAATACCAGTACTGCAGACACCATCAGCTGGTTAGTTGCCCCTGGCCACTTTTGTACTCAAGGGAGAGGAGGAGGAAGATTGACACCACAATTCATCTCATCCTAAGGAAGGTGTCCAAAATAGGTCAGGTGAGTCACACCTTCAGGCACTCCCCTCAGAAAGATAAAGTGAGCTTTAGGTGAATACAAGAAAGACATTGAGCTGCTGGAGCAAGTCCAGAGGAGGCCATGGAAATGATCCGAGGGCTGGAGCACCTCTGCTATGGAGACAGGCTGAGAGAGTTGGGCTTGTTCAGCCTGGAGAAGAGAAGGCTCCGGGGAAGAGAAAGCTCCCTACAGGGGCTCCAGGAAAGCTGGAGAGGGGCTGGTGACAAGGGCAGGGAGTGACAGGCCAAGGGGAATGGCCTGAAGCTGCAGGAGGGGAGATGGAGATGAGATGGGAGGCAGAAATCCTTCCCTGTGAGGGTGCTGAGGCCCTGGCCCAGGGTGCCCAGAGAAGCTGTGGCTGCCCCTGGCTCCCTGGCAGTGTTCAAGGCCAGGTTGGATGGGGCTTTGGGCAACCTGGGCTAGTGGAGGGTGTCCCTGCCCATGGCAGGGGGTTGGAACTGGATGGGCTTTGAGGTCCCTTCCAACCCAAACCAGTCTATTTTATAATATGACTGATTGATCTGGTACTGGTGTGCTCAGAGAGTGAGTTGGACCTTCAGAGGTCCCTTCCAACTAGCATCTCCATGATGCTATGACTAGCTGAGATGACGGCACAGACATCTGGCACAACCAAAGGGAGATGAATCCTATCCTACAAAAACACCCTTAAACTCCTGGCCCACATCTCTGAGAAGCCTCCAGCTATGTTCTCTTGACAGGTCTTTGCTAAGGGAAGAGGCACCCAGGCACAAACCATACAACCACCACCCAGGATCCCCAGACAAAGCAGCTTGGTACAGCTCTACAGCCGGCAAAAGATACAACCCAGACAAGAGTTATCTGGGTAATTAGGATTTCGTCTCTTGTTGAACAATCAGCTACTTAAAGAGTCTCGTTAGCCACAGAAATTGTTAATTGTGTCAAAACTCCTGGTGATGGCATCCTGCGCTTGGGGACACGTATCATAAACCCAAGAGTGAGCTAAATTACTCAGCTGATAAATAGTCTGTGGAGGTATTGGGGAATTTGAGCTGATTTAAAGCTGATTTTAAAAAGCATCTTTGTAGATGATTCAAGCACGGAGAAATGACTGACAACACTCAGCACATACATAGGTCCTGTTTTTTAAAAATTTGATTATTTCAGCTTCTCAGTGCTGATGGGATAAGTATTACTCCCGTGTAACTAACGTGGGAGCTATTTTGCAGAGAGTTGCAAAGATGTGTGCAGATTCACACAGACACCGGTGACGGAGCCAGTACAGAAGTTCTGATTGCTAAGTCCACGCTAAGTAGAGCTGGGAATCTATTTTCAGTTGACAAATTTACTTATCCCTAAAAAGTATAATCAGACAACAGTCAGTCAACAGTGTAAGTCACCCAATGACAACTTCTTGCAAATTCATGTCAAATAGGAAAAAAAAGTCAAAACATTTCAATATTTTCAGAATAAAATAGATCACTTATTCATTTCATTTTAATGTAACAGTTCATTTTGAAATGTATCTGAGTATTCATTTTTAAATAAACTTCCATTCACTCTTTTCTTAAATTGAAACAATACGTTTCACTTCAATTGAAAGTGATTTTTGTTTCTTACCAGTGTTTCATTTTAATTTAAAATGAGTGTGAATATAATTTCCAGTTGGCCCCAAATTATTTCACGTAAGTTTGTCTAACAAGCAAATAAAAAAAGCCAGTCTACTTAACCATTTACAATCTTCTTTTCCAGAAGAACTGGTCCCAGCATGTTTCAGTTTATGGATTTACAGTGAACTTTGCTATTTCTCTGACTTTCAGACCTGTCTCCTGAGCTGTAAAATCAGAGATCAGACCTTGCAGAAGTTTCTGTTCTCCTTCTGGATAGCATTGAATGATTCTCAGATTTGAATAGGAAATTGCAATTAATAAAAAGGGAGTGAAATCAAAGGCAGCATATTTCATAGTCACAAAATAAATGAACTTTTGCTGTGTTTATATTATATGTATAATACAGCAGGAAGTAAAGATCAAAACCATGTTTATAAAGAACTTGGCAAGTTGTGTGCTTGGAGGAAGCAAATGGGTTCATGGGAGGTACTTAAAGAACGAAGTTTGGATTTTTAGCTGCTGTAAATCAGCGTATCTCCTTTGACTCCAGTGCAAGGGTAGTGATTTACATCAGTGGAGAAGTTGGTTCAAGGGCTTCAAGGGAGGACAGATATGGTAAAACAAAGTGAAATATTTTTTCTACTGAAAAGTATTTGCCTATTGTTTGTTGTCTACTTCCAAGTATTGGGAACAACCTAGAGGAACAGGATCCTGATTCCCAGCTTCATTAGCTGTAAGGTGTAAAGGTGTGAATGAGGTTCGGCACTGGTTCCTGTCCTTCTGATCAGCCAAGGAGGCAAGTGTCAGGCTGGGGCTGCCCAGGGAGCTCACCCTTCAGGTATTGGCAACTCCCTGAGTCCCACAAATCCCAAACTATTTATTTGCAGGCTACAAAAATCCCCCAAAGCACCTGATCAATGAAAGGGAAACTGAGGCACGGTCAGACAGGATAATTAACCTCGGGTCTTGTAGTGAGAGAAGTTCACTGCAGCCTTACTGCTCCCTGCCTGAGTTATACCCCAAACTCCTCTGCTCACATAGGGTGAAAACTCTTCACAGCAGCAACTTCACCCCTATGGAGAGCTGAGGTAAATTCACCAAATACCACCCTTACCTAGAGAGAGAAAATGAAGCAAAGTACAAGACGGTGCAGCAGCATGGTGAGACCAGACACCCACAAACCTGACCCACCACCCTAGGGACACCTCAGCACCCAAGGCACGTTGGTCCTGGTGAATTATCCCACTGGAGGGCAGGTGGGGACTGAGTGGCCTCGGTTCGGTGTCTAAGCCTTGGGTTCCGGCTGTCCCCAGGTGGAGAGCCACGATGCTGGAGGGAGATCAACACCTCAGCAAGGCAAAATGAGTCCTGTGGTCATGATGCTCTGTTTCCATTGACTTGAGAGGCAGTTTTGAGCAAAAGGCTTTGAAAAATCCTGAGAAAAGGTGCAGAACTAACTATAATGTTTCCCTGGCTGCAGGGTTACTTGGACACAAGTGCCCGGCGGGCCGTGGGATGTGTGGGTCCCACCCAGCAGATGGAGTGACAGACCTCTCTGCTCTGCTAAGCTGTGCACAAAGGCCATTGTTCAGAAGTTATTTTAATCTTTTTCCCCCCCCCAGGTTTAGCTACACCACTCCAGAGGGTTAATCCGGTCCCCTGAACTGGGTGCCTGTTGTTAGATGAGGTGGAGATGAAGAGCTCTGGCGTTCCTGTACTTCATGGGCCACGGGTAGCACTGGTGCTGGAGAGGGATGTTGCCTTGGACATCACGTAGCCCCCTGCCCGGTGGGCTCTGTGCCCACTTAGCCTCCTCTGCACGCAGCGGGGCTGCAGCTTTTTCCCCCAGGCAAACAACTTGCCAGAACTTGAGAGAACAACCCATCAGACAGCCCCAAATGAGCACCCAGTGACACGGGCACCACAGCAGGACCAGGAGCTGAGGGCACAACTCCTACAGGAGCTGGATCAGTAATGGGAAATCACACAGGACCATCACCCTTGTAGGTAAGATCTGGTCCTGCCCCAGGTCCCTGCACAACATTGGCATCCCAGGACGTTGGTGGGACTTGTGTTTCAGACTCTGACACGCTCCTTTTATCAAACCTCACTCATCTCCAGCATCATCACGAGTTCAGGGGTGGGAGCCCTCAGCCCACGGAGGCAGGTCCAGGTGCCTTCCCCCAAACTGGGAGGAAGGGAGGCTGCGGGCAGGGATGGCAAAGCTGTTTGGAGACCACTGTGCCGTAATGACAGCCTGTTTGAAACAGACCTGTTTCCTCCTCAGCCTGAACTTCATTAATTAAACTGCTGAATGCAGAATGAATTAATTAAACCAATTATTATGCTGCTATTTTATTCATTTGCTATTTACTTTGATTGATTATATGACTCTGATTAATAAATATTGAATAAGTGTTAATTAATTGAATTAATGCATTGCTGGTTTATTCACCTATCAGTTACCTATCCCTCCCCTCCACGCATGAGTTGTGTCCTGACTGTCCCAAGGAGCAGGTCCACAGGGGCTCAGCCACTGGCAGCGGGGCTGGGATGGGGGACAGGTTCACTTACCAAAAGGCAGGACGAAGAAGAAGGGGAACCAGCAGAGGATGAAAACACCAACGACGATGGCAAGAGTCTTGGCTGCTTTTTTCTCACGGGAAAACTTGAGGAGCCGCACGGAGAGGGAGCTCCTGAAGTTGTGCCCCTTGCTCCGGGTGCTGGAGAGAGGCTCCTCCAGCACGCTGCGACAGTGGATGCGCAGTACCACTTCCATGGATTTGTTCCTCTCCTTCTTGACCCCTGCCTCCAAGCTCCGGGTGGTCCGCCTGGCCACTACGTAGATCCTGAAGTACATCACCAGGATGACCATGAGGGGCAGGTAGAAGGAGAAGAGAGAGGAGAACAAGGCATAGCCCGGCTCCTCTGTGATGCTACAGATGCTCTCATCTGGCGGTGGCGGCTCCTTCCATCCCAGCAGTGGCCCGATGGAGATGACCATGGACGAGAGCCAGACCACCACGAGGATGACCCCTGCCTTCCTCTCGGTCATGATTGTGGGGTACTTGAGGGAGTACTTGACGCCGATGTACCTGTCCACAGAGATGATACACAGGCTCATGATGGAGGCGGAGCAGCACAGCACATCCACTGCTGCCCAGATGTTGCAGAAGATGCGCCCAAACACCCAGAAGCCCAGCACCTCCAAGGTGGCTGAGAAGGGCAGCACAGTAGTGCTGAGCAGCAGGTCAGCGATGGCCAGGTTGACGATGAAGTAGTTGGTGACTGTCTGCAGGTGCCGGTTGCAAGCCACCGAGAGGATGACGAGGATGTTCCCCACGATGGCTGAAAGGATGAAGACGGCCAGGAAGACCCCGACGCCCACAGACTGCACGTCCAAGACGAATGGTGCCGTTGCCCTCGGGGATCTCCTCACCTTGCAGCCCCCAGGACCGGTTGGCACCGCTCTGGCTGCCCTGTCCCGTCCGGTTCCCACTCAAGCTGCCATTGCTCAGCTCAGGGAAAGTCATTGTAGAAAAGGTCCGGGCTCCATGGAGGGCGAGGAGAAAGCGATGCCGAGGCGCAGCCCCCCCGGCATGATCCCCGCAGCCCCCT